ACTCCACGTATCTTCTCTGTAGGAAGCTCATCTAGTTCTATATGACTTTAAGTAAATGCTTTATTGGAGGTCTCATAGCTGATAACCTCCAAATTTATAGCCATCTGCTGATCATTTGATTTCCACATTGAAAGCATTATGCTTCATGCAGTACTCACATTTTACCTCCGTCACTGTTACCACTCTGATCCAACAGCTCTTGATGGATTCATGCAACAGCCCCCTCACTAACTGTTCTTGGATTTCCTTCCCCTCACCTCTATCACACCCTCCCCCCACCCTTTGTCCCAATCCTTCACACAACAGCCAAATTGTTTGTTTCCTTTTGTTTAATGTAAATCCCATCTCACACACACTCATACACACACCACTCTCCTGCACAGACCCCTCCAAATAAATGACTTTCCAGGACACAGACTCATGCCCCTTCTTCATGTCTCTGGAGTCCAATGTTATCACATTGTATGAAACAGTCCCACTACCCCCACATCACCATTTATCCTTTTAACTGGCTTTTTCTTCAGAGCACAAACTACCCTGATTATAGCATACATTAATTACTTGTCTGCTGAATGTTTTTCCTTCTAGAATGTAAGTTCCATGAGGCAGGGACTTTACCTGACTTGTTCTCTGATGGAGTCCATGACCCAAAATCAATGTCTGGCAAATGATTACTCAATGAAGATTTGTGGAACAAATGAAGGGATTTATTGTCTAAACACATACACAGTATTAATCTGTCCCACTACAGTTCTAAGCACTTTACAAAATTAATCTTCCTAAGAACCCTACTGAATAGGTTCTATTATTGTATCTATTTTATAAATAAGGAAAGTGAGGCACAGAAAGGCTAAATAGCCTCATTCAAGTCACAAAGCCCCAAAGTGGTGGAGCTGGGATTTAAACCTAGGCAGCCCAACTCCAGAAGAGGCATACTTTTAATTACTGTGCTACTGATAGGGTTCAGAATATGCTACCCCAAAATATGGCACCTTGGTATAGTGAATATTTTAAACTGAAAGAATTTGAGAAAACAGTAAAGTCGCTCTGATCTCCCCACCCTACCTACCCTCAATCCTCTCCCTTCTCCCTTGAAACAAGTCATAAAATCCTCAAGTGAGAGCAACCCTCTCATCCCAGGAAGAAAAAAGCCATCCTTATCTCCAAACACAAAGAGACTCCAAGAAGAATCCTAACCAACAGGTCTTGCTAAATTTCCCCCAATTTACTACACTTATTTCATACTCATTAACCTATCATATTCCTCCAAAACTGTCTACTCTTCATCAAACTTAGCATAAAAAGGGGGAAGGAGGGGGTAGATGAGGGTAAAAGGAATCAAATATATGGTGATGGAAGAACTGACTGGGTGGTGAACACACAAAGTGATATATAGATGATATATTACAGAATTGTACACCTGAAACCTATGTAACTTTGCTAACAATTGTCACCCCAATAAACTTTAATTTAAAAAACAAATTACTTAAAAAAACAAAACAAAAACCTAGCATGAAAATACTCAGGTTTAACCATTTCTTCCAGTCTTCATTTCCTTAGGAAATCTCCCATGTCATGTAAAACTTATATTAAATAAATTTGTATGCTTTTCTCCTGTTAATCTGTCTTTGTCAGTTTAATTTTTAGACCCAGCCAGGGATCCCAAGAGGGGTGAAGAAAGCCTTTCCTCCCCAACACTACCTTTTCTTTTAGCAAAAAGAATTGTGAGTGAAAAAGGAGCACTTTAACAAATCTAAACAAAAGTCACTTCCTTACAGGGTGATCTGATCTTAAATTCCTAACTGGGCAGGTCATGATGGGTAGTCACACCCCAGGCCTATAACTTTTTTTTTTTTTTTTAAGATTTTATTGGGGAACTGGGGGAGGGGAACAGCGCTGGGGAATCAGGGGAAGTGGAACAGACAAGTTGCTGTTGTTTTGTTCTTCAGTCTAGTTGTGGAGGATGTCACTTCACTGGCCCAAGCTGGCACCATCACTGCGCTCTTCCCGGGCAAGGCAGATCAGTCGCTGGCCTCTGGACGGCCACTCACTGCAGCTGCTGGCCGCTCACGCTGGCTGCCGGCTACACATGGTAGCTTATGGCAGCCCACTGCAGCCCAGCTCCAGGTTGAGCTATTGTTCAGCATCTTAGCTGTAGAGGGCAGTGTCACTGGCCCTCATATGTGGGATCCGAACCGGAGCCCTCTGGCATCCCAAGCCAGTTCTTAACCAACGCGCCACTCGGCCGGCCCAGGCCTATAACTTTTTAATAAAAGATTTACCTTTGCCTTAAGTAGGCCCTGTCTATTGTTTCTGTGCATCTAGGTTAACACACCTTTGAAATGCCTCTTTCAGAGCTCTTGGAGGCTTAACCACCCTCAAGAGAGCAGTCTTGTTAACTATCCTGTAATCTAATCCCCGCCTTGCATTCTCCCACATTCATGTAATTGTCCTTACTTCCCGCCTGAATTCCAAACGTATAAAAAAACTGCACACTGTCATTCTTCAGAACATTTGAGATCTTGCTTCCCAGCACTGTTGTCAGTTTGGCTCACATAAAATCTTTTAACAATTCTCTATAGGTTTGGACGTTTCTTATGTTGACAGAATCATGCTTTACTTGGTCTGCACTGTGTTTTTTCCACCAAAGATCACAGCTATCTTTTTATATCATTGTAGGAATATACCACAGTTAATTTAACCAGTCTTCTAGGTTAAACCAATCCTCTAGGACATGTAGCTTATTTTCAATTTTCATTATCCAAATGATACTGTCATGAAGCGGTACTATAGTTAACCACATTTTCGGTTTTGAGAAATAATACCAAATAATTATCTTTAATCGTGTGCATATTGTTGTATAAAATCCCTGAAACAATAGTCTAATTTTTTTAAAGATTTTATTGGGGAATTGGGGAGGGGAACAGTGTTGGGGAATTGGGGAAAGGGAACAGCCAAGTTGTTGTCCTTCAATCTTAGTTGTGGAGGGCGCAGCTAGCTCAGCCCCAAGTCTAGTCACCATCTCCGACTGCCCATCGGCAGCTCACAGCCGCTCAGCTCAAGGTGCCATGTTCAATCTTAGTTGCGGGTAGGCGTAGCCCACCATCCCATGCGGGAGTCAAACCGGCAGCCTTGTTGTTAGGAGCACATGCTCATACTAGCTGAGCCATCCTGCCGCCTGTTGGCAGCTCAGGTCGGGCGCAGCTCACTGGCCCATGTGGGAATCAAACCAGCAACCCTGTTGCTCAGAGCTCATGCTCTTAACCAAGCCACTCGGCCAGCCCCAGATGTCTAATTTTATTTTCTCCCAAATAGTCAATTGTCCCTCATTTTAGATTAATAGTACTTTGTTTTACAGCTTTTAAAAACTCTTTATGGAATAAAATAGCATTTAAGTAAGGAAATAAAGTCATCACTGAACATTTACAGAGCACTGATTATGTGACAGAAACTGAGGAAGCAGAAATGGATAAGGCCCGAGGGATCTTTCTCCAGGGAGATTCAGATCCTAAGGAAGACAAAATGTGTAAAGAATGAAAGAGGTAACAGAGAGAGTCTTCAATAACCAAGAGAGTAAATCCAGAGATAGAGGACTAGTGGCTGCAGGACCAGTGAATTCCTGCAAAGATAGTTTTTGAGAGAAGAGGTACTAAAATTCGGAGCAATAATTTAAGTGCCCTGAAAGTGAAATAAATTACATTTTGTCTAAGTGCAATGGGGATGTTGAGGGGCTTAGTAAGGGGAGTAGGTCTGACAATCTTAGATAAGTCAAGCTGCAGTATGTGAATGGATTGGAGGGTTGGGGGGGATGATGAGGTGTGGCAGAGTGAAGGCAGGAAGACTAATTAGACTTTGTTGCAGTAAGTCCTGCCACAGATAGGATTGGCTGAACTGGGGCTGAGAGAGCTAAATTAACTGTAAAGATCTTGCAGGGGAGGAAAAATAGTTTTTCCTCTACTCTGAGCTCTGGGCTGAGACCTGTGTAAAAAAGAATCACAAGAGAAAAACAAGAAGTTTATTAACACGTATGCCTCATGTATACATGGTCTCCCAGGGGGAAAAAATAAAAATAAAAAGAGTAAATCCTAAATTGACCTGAAATACCCGCTTAAATACTGTCTTCAGCTAAAGACAAAAGAAAGGGAAAGCCAATTACCAGGAGGCCACCAGGAAAAGCACGGTAAACAAGGGTGAGGTTTGTCAGGCAGATTTCAGTGGGTGCCTTCTCCACCAATAAGATTCTGGAGTTAGTCATCCTTTTCCTGGTTCAGAAAGCAAGGCACCCTTACAAATGGAGATTTCCTTTATAACTATAAGTTACCCTTACAGAAGGGTAACGTGCTGTTTTCAGAGCTTCTCCTGCTTCTCAAAATAATCAGCTTAAAATAATCCTTATGCCCAAAAGGCCTATTTTTGCGTGGCATATTCTGCTACCCTTCAGTCTCTTAGAAGGTACAGTAGGCGCCACGGGAGGCAGCTGTGAGGAAGAGGAATAAGGCCAGGATGAGATTCAGGTTTCTGGCTTGGGCACCCACAGAGATGAGACACGATGGGGTCAGAACTGGGGGAAGGTCCTGAAACTAATGTAAGATAAAAATAAAAAATAAATAGAAGTAAAAACAAACAAAAAAGAACTGGAGAAAGATGAGGAAGCTCAATTTTGAACTGAGTCTGAGGGGTGTGGGGGGCACGTAGAGAGCGATCTCCAGCAGGCAGGTCTGGAACTAAAGGGGGCTGAGCTGAAAAGCGATGCGGTGGTTAGAAGAGTAAACGAGACGGGTGGGCGTGCCCAGGTACCGGGGAGGAGCGACAGGATAGGGCGCGAGGAAAATCACTTTTGGTTTCTGCGGCGGCCAAGGGACTAGGCCCAGCCCAAGCCCACGCCCCTCTTTCCTCTCCCTCCCGCCCTCCCCTCCTCCTAGGCCCCACCCGCAGGGAGAGGCGCTCCGCCCGCAGCGGTTCTTCCCGCGCCGGGCTCGCCCAGCATGCTGGGAGCGGAAGCGCCCTCCGAGCGCCGAGCGCCGAGCACGTCGGGAAGTGTAGTTTGAGACAGCCCCAGAATTCCTCGTGAGACGTGGCCTTTGGTCACTTAAAGGGCAAGTCCAGAAAGCGGTGATGCTCCCGGGGCAGGGTGCCCCTCCGGCGCCGGCACGGGGCATCCCGGGCCGCATCCCCTCTCCGCAGAGCATGGCACTTCCACGCCTCCACAATCTGCTCCACCTGCAGGGGAAGGCCGGTCACCGCGGAGTCCCGCGGTGCCCCCCTCACCCCGCAGACCCTGGGCCGCGCCTCTCCCCACGCCTTTCTCCCACGCTGCTGAGTGAATCAACCTAGTTCCTCGCGTCCGCACCGGGATGAGCGGCTCCCGCCGGTTCTGCTCTTCCAGGGCGCTCAGCTCCGCCGGGGCCAGCAAAGCCAGTCTCAGCTCCCGCACCACCGGGGCCGCTACCTCGGCCACAGGCCGCTCCAGCACCGCCTGCGAACGCCAGCCCTGAGCCCGGGAGGGCGGGGGCACCTGGCCCGCTGCCCACTCGCCGGGTTTTTGCGGCCCGAGACTCCTTCAGCACCCCCACCCCGCGCTCCCCTTAGTTCGGCTCACCGCGCCCACGCGCGCCCAGCTCCGGGCCGCCAGGACTAGTTCAGCCTCGTCCACGCAGAGGTTGTCACTGCGCAACAGGGGCAGCAACGCGGGCGCCGACAGCTCCAGGAAGCCGCGGGTCCGGAGCGTCTCCTGTGGGTCCGAGAATGGGTCAGGGAGGAGCAGAATGAGGTGTATGGAGTTGGGAGTATGAAAATGGGGAGCTATACCTGGCTATGGGCCTCTATGAAGGCTATGCAATGCTCCTGCAATGGTCCCAGGCCAAAGGTTACGGCTACCTGAGAGCAGAATGAGGGAGATCAAATTGGAGACTGGAGAGGCCATGTAGCACAGCTCTGCACACCAGGAACTACCTGCCAGGGTCCAGCAACACCCACCTGCAGGGCCTCACAAACCAGCTCCACATCCAGCACTTTCACCACAAACTCCAGGCATAGCTGGGAACAGAAATGAATGTGGGTTGTGCTGAGGTGTCTTTGGTTCCCCCTCTCCCCCACTCCAACCTGGAAGCAGTGAGTATGCTTGGAGCAGTCAGCCACCCAGGCTCCTAGCAACCCCAGGCCCATCAGGCAGATAATCACCAGGGCCTGAGACTTGGCAAACCTGGAGGGAATAGGGATTAGCAAAGCCAAGCCCAGCAGCCTACCTTCTAGCACATTACCCACTAATCAGACTAGATAAGAGCCATGCAAAAATTCCACTCTCCCTTTCACTTAGGACAATTATCTTCATCTATTTGTTCCCCTCTTGACTCAAAGACACTCAAAAACAAAGACTTTGGTTTTAACCAGAAACTTGAATTTCATCCATGACAGGTCCTACTCATCCTCACATCCAGGAAAGCACTGGGTCATGCCAGTTCCACTTCTATCAAAGCAATAAAGTGCTCCCTTGGGCTTACACTGCCACCGTCATCCCTATAGGACTAGTGAGCTCTTCTCATCACTCTCAATCCCTTCTCCCCTTAGCTTCCAAATCCTTACTCCCTTACCCAAAACCTCCACTGAATCTCCACTACCCTCTGGGTAAAAGAAGTCCAAATTCTTGAAAGTCCTGTGTGAACCAGCCCCTGGCACCTCTCCAATCTCATCTCTCCTTCACCTCCTCTCACACTCAGTCCAGCCACACTAAATGTCTCACCAGCTCCATTTGTGCCTCTGTGACTAGAATGTCATCTTTCCACTCCCCCTCTGAACAAACTACTACCTGTTCTACCGGATCCAATACAAATGTTTTCTTCCCCAGAAAGTCTTCCCTTCCTCTCTCTCTGGTGATGAGACTAGAGATCCTTCATACAGTCTCAGCACCATTTACCCTCACCTATCACACTTCTTATGCCACAGGGTTAAGCGAGGTCAAGTTGGAGGCTGGAGAGACAATGTAGCCCAGCCCTCCACACAGGGGAGTTTTTATGTGTCTATCTGTCTTTGAAGAACAAGGATCGAAGCTGTCCTATTTTTGTATCTACAGCACCAGCCATAAACACTCCATATGAGCCCACAGCACACACAGAGCATACACGTATCCTTTTGCACATAGGTTCACATAAATGCCTATTACATAGATATCCATATTTGTTCTGTATTGGTACATGTTCCTCTCCAAGACTATGTGAAGCAGGATATGAGCTGAGCGCATAGAGGCAAGGGAAACAAAACAGGGCCCTGCCACATAAACCCACCTCTCTCAGTTCCTCCAGCCCATACTCCACAGCTGCTGTCAGCACCTCCAGCACCTGCAAAGTGGGTGGTTGGAGTGGAAGGGCATTTCCTCTGCCCCTCAGCCCACTCCCTCTCCCACCTAGATCCCTGCCCAGTGGGCTTACAGAGTGGCGCTGCAGCTTGATACTGTTGGTGTACAAGAACTCCAACACTGCCAGGAAGGCCTCAGCTGGCACAGTGCTTAGCACCACAGGACTAGGCACCCCAGGGCCTGGCTCCTGGCCCAGAAGTCGCTGGAAAAAGTTGCATCTACAGGCCAACAAGCACCGGTGGGCAAACACCTCCTGCCGCTCTTGACCGACCACAAAGCGAACATCACTGTGGGAGAGAGGGGCAGAGAACCAGGGGAGAAGAGGCCCAAGTCTAGGGTGCAACTCCAGGCTTTGCCCACTCTGGGCCTTTATTTCCATATAAGAGACAGGGCTTAGTCCTTCTGACTGAAGGTCTGGGGCATACAGGCCTGGGTTCTAGTCACAGCTCCAACCTATGGTACCTCAGGCAAGTGAATTTCTACCTTTGAATCTCAGGTTTCTCTTCCATGAAATGGGACAGTAATCGCAAACTCTCAGATCTTGGAGGAGGTGGCTACGCTTAATCACTGAGGGGGCACCAGGGCTGATGCAAGATTGATCCCACATACTCCTCTCCTCCCCAGCCTGAGTCTTGGGGGAAGGGAAGCTCTTCTTGGCTCCTCCTCCACAGACTGCAAACTCAGCTTTCTCAGCCTCCTCCAGGCAGGAGGCGGTGGGAGGATGGGGGTGCAGAGTGCACTGGCTGCAAATAGACACTGCAGTGATACATCAAGAGGCCAGACCACATTTTCCATCTTCATGATCACTTCCGGCCGCAGCCTCTGGGCCTCTAACAACACAGTGGGTAGGAGGCATGAAATGACGCTTGAGCTTCCTGGAGGCTCCTAGTTCCCAGTCCAAGGCTTGGGTTCCCACGATTCAGACCAGACTGTGATCCCCAAAGCAATAGGGTTATGAGAGTCACCAAGTGAAGAAAACAGCTGCTTTCTAGTTCTCCCAAACAATCCTGCCCCCCATACTCTGTCCCTGGTTTCAGACACCACTTGCATCTTAAACCACTTCCTGTCTGAAACTGGCTCAATCCTTTGAGCTCTGTTCCTCTTGTGAATCCCGTTTCCAGAACATGGTCATCTGCTCCTCTGCCTCCTCAAAGAGGGATTCAAGTTACATCCCACCGCTCAGAGTCCAGGGGGCTGAAGGCTCTTCCCTGCCAGGAGCCCAAGATCCAGAAAAGGAAGGCCTTGGCCTGAGGTCCAGCCTCCACTGCCCTCCACCTCTGGCTCTCAAGATATCATGGACCCTGAGTAACCAGTAGCCAAGCTCTACACTTGACTTCCCCAGACTGAGTTCAGCAAAAGGGTCAAGCCCTAATTCCCTGCCTCTTCTGTACCCAGGGCTTCCTCAGAGTCATGAGGCACAGCAAAGCCAGCTATCAAAACCCAGACAGTGCCCACCCCTCACCTGTACAGGCGATTGTTGACGAGGCTTCGGAGTGCTGTGGAAAAGGGCTCAGCCTCCCCGTGCACAACCAGTCCTGGGGTCTCCATGGGTGGGGTGGGGCAGGGGAGGAAGCGGATGGAACAGCCTAGTAGGCCTGTTGTCTGTTGATATGTGGGAGGCAGTAGGTGGGAAGAAGCAGGAGGCCTAGCCAGGTCCTACAGCTGGTGAGGAGACTAGAAAGGCCTGAGAGGGAGGGGCAGGAGCTTGGGAGGCCTGTTTACTGAGAAGTTAAAGTTTAGGGATGGGGCACAAGAGGCCCAGTTCCCTGAAGAAGGCATCAGAGGCTGGTGGAAGAGGCCAGAGGCTGGGCTTGGGGACGAGGACTCAGGGAGGTGACCAAGAGAGGCCAAGGTGGAGCTAACCAGACAGGGGGAGGAGAGGCTGGCTGCAGATGAGGCCCCAACTGGGATCCTGCCCAGGCAGTGGCTGGGGTGGGAAGCCTGTGGGTTTCCACAGAAACTGGAGTCAGGCCTAAGGAGGCCCCGCCCACCTCCCACAGGCCCAGGGAAAACTTCAGACCTCAGAGGGGCCCTAAGCAGAGTCTGAGTGTCTTAGCACCCTGGCCCTGACCTCTCTGAGTTCAGAGTTCAAACTCCCTGCCCCTCCCACCCCCCTCACCCACATGCACACAGGATCAGGATCAGGTTAGCCAAGCCTGGGGAACCCCACTCAGCAGGGAAAGCCCTCACCCCCATGGACAGTTTTCAGGCCCCAAATAAGGCTTGTTTGGGAGAAGGCAGTCCTATCCCTCCCAGAGGGGTCAGGTGAGGTGTCAGCTCTGATGGAGGAGTCATGGCCTCTGGCATCCCTGAAATGCAACACAAGAGGTGTGGCTAGCTAGGGACAAGCCCGAGTGCTTGGGTCAGCAAGGGTCAGGAGGCTGGATGTCCAGTCCAGAGTGTGAGCTCACAGCTTCTCACCCCTCCCTCCCCTTCGCTAAGGCAGCCCTGAGCTAAGGAAGTCAGCCAAGCCCCACCCTAGCTCTGCTCAGGGAGCGGAAATGTTTGTCCTTGTTTCGACTGATGGGGAGATGACAGTCATCAAGTCATGACGTGCTCCTTACTGTGGGCCAGGATCCTGATTCCTGAGTAGCCACCCACGCAGCCTCAAGGTCTCCCCATATCCCAGGCCTCTGCAACTTGCTCAAAAATGAAGAGTGAAGAGCAAGGGGAAAAATGGACAGTGGCTTAAGAGCCCTGGGGCAGGGACACCTTTCTGACTAGAGCCCATCTCTACAACTGCTCCCTCAGTTGTTCTTCTAATGGTAGCATGCCCTTGGGCTCTAAGCCCCTGTTGTTCCCTCTCCCCTGATGACTCAGGCACCCTGTACTCAGTACATACTCTCAGTAGTAACACTCCCAGGTTAAGCCAGAGCCAGGACTGGATGGAGGGAACCAGAAAGGGAGGAGTGCTTGCCCAGCAACCCATGGCAACTCCACAACACACCTCCAGGTCAGACCAGCCAGGAAAGGGCTGTGAGCGCTCAGAGGTCAAAGACTGCAGGTGATTCAGGGGTGCCTGTGGGAGTTTCGGGAGAGGGCTACCATCATAGAGCCGATTCTGAAAGTAGGGCCACAGTCTGAAAACAGAGGATGGAAGGAGCTTCCCAAGTCACCTGCCCCCAGCCTCAGTCAGTTGTGGGATTTTGTGCCAGCCATTTTAGGAGCAGGTAAGGGTGGAAGATAACTGGATTCAATACCCACAGGGCTAGAAGGACCTCTGGGGTTGGAGCTGGGTCTGTCTGTCCCTCCTTCTGGTTATGGACCGGAGGCACCACTGTCTAGGCAAAGGGCAGATATATCTCCCCCTTCTGCCAGCAGTGAGGTAGGAGGGAGGAAAGCTCGTTGAGCTCACCTCCACAGTGCCCAGTGGAAAGTGAAGCTCAGGGGGCAGGGACCAGCCCAAGATGATAGTCTGAGCAGCACCTCTTCCCTTTATGTCCCAAACAGCCCTTAACCCTCTAAGAACCTAGGAATCCACACAGCCCTGGGCTACTTGATTCACCTATCTCAAAAACACAGGTAAGAAGGGGCTAAGGGGTAAAAAAACCCTATCACCAAGAAACTGGGTGGTGTACAAAGATGGCCAGTGAGGGCCCCCTGTCCAAGAGTGGGTCTTCCAACTGGCAGGTCCATGGCTGGTAGGCCTGTGCCCCCCGGACGTCAGGAGGAGGAGACTGCCAAAGACCTCGGGCTGAAACTATCGCCGGTGCGGCCTCCAGGCCGCCTGCCCAGCATTGATGAGGCCCGACAAGCAGGTCTGGGCCCAGCTTCTCGCCGTGGCTCCATGCTGGGCTTGGCCTTATCCTTTTCCCGCCGCAATTCGTTGGCCGGACCAGGGGTGGGTCCTGGGGGTCGGCGACCGTCCCTGGGCCCAGTGCCCCCTTTAGGTTCACGGGTCAGCTTCTCGGGGCTGCCCCTGGTGCCCAGCCGGCGGATGGAGCCCTCGTATCGCATGGAGCCGGCACCTGGGGAGCGCTGGGAGGCCGAGAGAGCACAACGTGCCTTGGAAGAGGCGCTGGCCGCAGGGCTGCAGGACATATGCTACTCTGGCACCGAGGCCGGGCCACTAGCGCGGCAGCTGTGCGAGCTGGTGCACGTGCGCCTGCGTGAGCTCAGCCCGCCACGCTACAAACTGGTGTGCAGTGTGGTGCTGGGGCCGCGCATTGGCCAGGGTGTGCATGTCGTCAGTCGCGCGCTCTGGGACGTAGCGTGCGACGGCCTGGCCTCCGCCACCTTCACCAACGCCTCGCTTTTTGCAGTGGCCACGGTCCACTGGCTCTACTGTGAGTGATGAGGCCTCCAAGTTCTGCAAAATGGTTTATTAACCCAGGAGATGGCTCTCCCTAGGGCATACATCCCAATAAATATATGTCTGTCAATAAATAAAAGTGGTCCATAAATAACGCCCCCTAGCTGGGGGCTAAGGCTCAGGCTTTTCTTGGAGAAGGAGTAGGAGGCAGCTAGGACAAGGCCGACTCCAACCTCAGTAAAGCTGGTCCCTGATTCCCTGGGGGATTAGGCCCAGAGCCCCCAGTGAGGCACCAAAGGGACAGGGAGGGCCACAGAGGCAAGGGCTAGAGCCTTACAGGCACAGACATCAGGCCTGAGGGCTTGGGTCATAGCCGGCTCTGCAGGCTGGGGCCTACGCTGAGCAGCGGTCCCGGAGTAGGCGCAGAGTATAGCGGAGCCGCTGTCGTAGGTCTGGGGAGCAGCCCAGCTGCCGAAGGTGGGAAGCGAGGTAAGTACAAGCGCTACGGTTGCGGGCCACAAAAGTCACCAGGAGGGGCTCCCAGCCACTGAGGATCAGCTTGGTGTGGTCTTCATAGAAGTTCACCTATGCACAGGAGGGTGGCACTGATCAGGGCGGAGGACCCAGGTCCAATTTCCTCCCCAGCACCCTGGGCCTCCCAGACCTTCCCCCAACTCCAGGAGCAGCTCTTACCTGGACAGTGCCATCACTAAACAGCATGAGTAGGGCCTGATCAGTTTTGACCCACTGCAGCAGGAGTGGGGGAACAGGAACCTCCACTTCTTCCACACTGGGCAGATCTCCACCCTGGGAGTAGGGACAGGTCACTTGCCTGACATGATTCAGGCCCCTCCCCATTGATATCGCCCTTAGAGGTTCAGTCTTTAGCCTTGATCCCCCCAGCAAAGGGGAATAGAAAAGGACCAGATTGTGTTTGTCTTCAATGTGCCCCACCCCAGTCCACATACCTTCATGAGGCGCTGCTCCATGTAGGAGGCAAAATACCGCAAGATGCCCAACTGAGGCTGCAGGGCCCGAGGTACAGCACCCACAGAGAAGAAGAAGTGCTTTGTGCTGGTTGGGTTGTAGTGCACAGTCCTGGAGGAGAGACAGAGGTCAGAGGGATCCCTGCACTGTTGCCCCTCTCCTGAGACCCCAGGCCCCCTAGCCCAGGGGCACACACCAAGGTGCAGCCCTTCTGGGTACAATGGCTTGGTTACAAAGCATTCCATAACAGCACTTACTTTCTGTTGGCCGACAGGGCCATGTGCGTGCCATTGTTGAAGAGCACAGCCACACGGCTGCTGGACAGCTGATACCCAAAGCCAAACTTGTTTGAGTAGTCAACCCACTTGCTGACCCACACCAGAGGTTCTGGCTGTGCCAGGGGAGCTGGGTTCTGTTCCGCTGTCATGGGAAAGGAAGGAATAAGAACATGTTCCTGGGGCGGCCAGTTAGCTCAGCTAGTTAGAGCGCAGTGCTCATAACACCAAAGTTACTGGTTCGATCCCCGCATGGGCCACTGAGCTGTGCCCTCCACAACTAGATTGAAACAACTACTTGACTTAGAGCTGATGGGTCCTGGAAAAACACTATGTATAAAGAACATGTTCCTGGCCTCCCAGGCCAAGAACTCCTACCACCATTCATTCACATGTACCAGACACCAACTTTACCTGGGGGCATGAAGGCCAGACAGTTTCTCAGAGCACAGAGGGCTGACTCCACCACTGTGGCCACAGTCAGGCCTTCTTCAAACCCTGAAGGGAACAGGGGAATCAGAATTAGGCATTAGTCCCCCAGGACCCAGGCCATGTCCCTCTGCCCACTCCTTCTCTCTGGAACGTGGTTTCAGACCCAGCAACCTCTAGCACCTCTCATACTCCTGGCTGCTCACCATCTCCACTGCTTGCCAGTGTCCCACGGGGTGAGCTGTCTTCAGGTGCTGTCTCTACCAGGCTGAGGGGGGCTGGACAAGAAGCTACTGGAACCTGGAGGGTTGGGTAGGGGGACCGAGTGAAATTAGGGAAGGCCCCTAAATTCAAATCCTTGAAAGTCCGTGGCCCAGCCCTGCCCTGGCACCTAGGGCACCCCAGGTCAACCCCGCCTGGTTAATGAGACACAGCCAATTAGGCCACCATGAGTTAGATGCTTCACCAGTCTCTTTTATCCCAAGCTTCCCACAGCTGCTAGGGTGAGTCAGGGGCACACTGCCCACGTGAGCACCTCACCTCAGGCCTGGCATCCTGATGGCCAATGGATGTCCGAGTGAGGCCGCTCACCAAACAGGAGACATCATCCTGCTCCTCTGGATGGTGCTTACCTGGATGGGAACAGATATAGTCCTCAGTATCCTACCCAGCCCCACCCCTCCTGCTTCCCATAGGTATAATACAGATGGATATATCCAAGTGCCTGTATAACACACGCTCTCCCCAGGGGCTCACAGGCACTCACACTCACGTTCCCTCAATGTATGTAACAAGTCCCCCTGCCGCTCTATACCCTCAAAACCTGGTATCCCAGACTCACTCTTGTTCTTCTTCCTGCCAAAGAGGCTCTTGGTAACTTTGACAAACAGAATCCTAGCTGGATTAAGGGGTATCAGGTCTGGGACTGTCACACAGCTGCTGACAGGGAGCCGGTCGGGGGTGTAGCCCTGAGGAGTGGAACCATGTGAGCAGAAAAGAGAGGCCCCAGGGGTCCTGTCACCTACCCCCATTCAATCCCCTGGGAATGTACAAACTGGACTTAGGTGTCTGGTGAGCCACAGACCTTGGCAAAAAAGTCATGGCGCAGAATCTGGTCAATTGAGGGGCGGTCCTGGGGTGAGGCTCTAAGGATGGTGGCCAGCAGCTGTCGGGCAGGCAGTGAGAGGCTGGCAGGCAGCGTGTAGTGAACCTGTTTGATACAGCGGTACGTCTCCTTCAGGTCGACTGTCTCAAAGGGGGGGCTCCCACATAACAGTGTGTACCTGTGGGGCAGAAATAAGAAGTCAGGAGTAAAGTGGAAAGTATGCCCCACCCATACACCCATCTGTGTGCAGATAACCCTGGGACTCACATGACACAGCCCAGGGACCACACATCTGCCTCAGGGCCATGGCCCTGTCTCTGCAGCACTTCTGGAGCCACATAGTTAGGGGTACCACAGATGGTCCTAAAAAGGGGTAGGGAGGAGGAGAGGGGAAGGTTTAGCTCCAGCCCAGCTGCCCAACCCCCATCCCTACCCCCACTGTGAGTCCAGACAAAGCAGCTGCCTGTCACCAAAGGCCAGAGAACTCCTGCTTGTCCTGGGACAATGGATGCTGGGGATGTCAGCTGAGTCCCCGCCCACCCGCCTGGCCCAGCTGCTCAGCTGCTCTATAGGACAGGGGGAGGCCCTAACCCCCAACCCGGCTCTCTCCTCCAGGGTCAGCAGAGGGTCCATCACTGATCCCTTTCTCCTTCCCCACTCCCGTCTGTCAGACACTCATACAGGCTGTCACCTCCTATGGTCTGTGCCACACACACACCAATACCAGCTGTCACACCCCCATAAACATTCATCTGCCACACGTTATCTGTGTCACTCACACCAAATTATGGCCACAGTAGGGTCTCCTTTCCACAAGTCCCGGTAACCCAGACTGCCACCTTTACCTTCACATACAAGCAGCCCATCATCTCTTCCCCGTCACACACACACACACACACACACACACACACACACACACACGGCAGTCATCATGCTTCCCACATATATACTGTCTGTCACACAGGCTGTGGCCTCCCCTCCCTTAAATACTCACTTCTTCCTAAGTTCTGGGGGCTCCAACCGGGTAGCAAGCCCAAAATCCCCCATCTTCAGTTCCATATCCTCAGTGATAAAAAAATTTCCTGGGCGGGGGTAGAGATGTGTCAGACTCCTTTCTGCCTCCCCACCCCCACCCCCATCCTGTTGACCCAGGAGTCTCACCTAGTTTGAGGTCTCGGTGCAAGATGCCTCGCTGGTGCAAATATTTGAGTCCGGAAAGGATCTGTCGCAGGTAGTAGCGCACCTCTGGTTCCAACAAGGTGTGCCGGGCCTTCCAGATGTGGGCCAGGGACTGCAGAGAGCCACTGCCTCAGCCCCTGGTCTACCCTCCCTGACCCTCCCCCTCCATCTGTGCTCTTATGAAGAAGAGACAGGACTCCAGCTTTAGGTCTTAAGGTCCCCTTTCTTCCCCTATCACCATCTCTCACCTTTCGGCTGCAGAGCTCCAGGAAAATGTATATGTTGTCAGCATCTTCAAAGTGGTGCGAGAAACGCACGATGTGGCGGTGCTGCAGGCCGCGGTGCAGCTCAATCTCGTTTAGGATCTGCAATGGCGAGCGGGTTTGACATCCTTCAAGGGCTCCCGTGCCACGGTCCCCACCCCACCCTCATCCGCCGGGACTGGGCCCGAGCCCACCTTCTCGCGTTGATGCGGCTTGGTGATGCGGCTCTGAGAGATGACTTTGACCGCGTAGGCGTTGCCGGTCTCTGTGTCAGTGGCCTCGTAGCAACGGGCGAAGCCCCCCTAACAGGAGGAGGCATCAGGTAGGGTGCTCCAAGGCAGGCAGGATCTGGCCCCCAGACGTCCCCTCGCCGAGGACAAGCGCCCCTCCATGACCCGCGCGGGCAAAAAGGCTAGCAAGGGCGCCTCTCCACCCTCTCTAGCAACACCCCAGCTCACCTTGCCCAAAAGGCGTCCTTTGAAGTAGGTGCGGCCGCTGCACGGGTCCGTGATGAGGCGTCCGGGATCCCGCGCCGGCGGCCCGGCCATCGTCTCTAGCTCAAGTCCCGGCGTGGCACTCGGAGGCGGCCCGGGCCCGGCGTGGGGCGCGGGCGGAGCGGCCGCTCGCGGGAAGGGGCGCGGGGACAGCATGCCGGCAGCCGGCTCCATGCGGATGGTGTTTCGCAGCGCGGGCCGGGGGTTTTCTAGGTTCCGCCCGGCCAGGCCGGGCGTGGCGCTGCCGGGATTTGCTACGCTGCGCTCGCGCCCAAGGGAGCCCGGCGTTTTTATCAATGAATGCTTGCCTCCTCTCCGGCGTCTCGTCATTAAGAGCCCGCCCCCTTCCTGGCAGCGAGTCACCGAGAAGCCACGCTCCTCCTTCAAGCCTTACATCATCATCAAGAAGCTCCTCCTCCCATCCAACTCACCCCGAGGCCCAGCCTCCTGCTCACGCCTTAAAGACGCAGTCATAGTGCCAGTCACCATACGGATTCCGCCAGGATGAGTGGGCCCAGACGTTCCTCCGTCCCCCGCTCCCATGACTGGGTGCGCACTTCTTTCCCAACCTAGGGTTATGCTGAACTCCTAGTGAGTGCTGGGCATCTGAGGAGTCTCCCAGCAACTAGGTGGACCACAGTCCCAGCTGGTAAGGGAAAGGCAGGGGCGGCGCTCGCCTTCACCCGGGCGCGTCACCAACACGGCCTTTTAAGTGCCAGACTACCGCTAGTCCCACGTCCTCGGCCAGGCTCAGCCCAGTGCTGCCCCCTTTAGGGCCTGAGAGGATTGCACATTCCCAAACCGTGCCTGGCTTGCGGGGGAGAGGGGGGAGAAGGGAGAGTGGGAGAGCGGGGCGGGACCGGGGCTGCCATGCTGCGCTTTGGGATCAAACAGAGGCTGGCAATCAAGGCTTTTAAACCGTGTGCCACATATTTTGCTACCCCCTTTCACACTCACGGGGCATATCTCAGGTTCTGGTGGGGTCCGCTGTACCCTTTCCTTGAAAACACCCACTGCCCTGAGTCAAAAGCCAGAGGCCAGAAAGTGAAAAATGGGAATTGGATTTTCCCAGATCTAGTAATGGACAATCGGAGGCCATCAGTCCAGATGCCATCTGGACCCCTAGAACCCTGCTCCCTGCCCACCCTTCCCAAGGGCCAGAGAGAGATGGGGTCTTAACCACTGTGGAGTGTTTGTCCCAGGACCACAAGTCTCCTCCTGGTCTTCTCCTTACCTCTCTGCCCTCTATACATTCCCAGCATTTCTTAAGCCATTCAGTCCTCAGAGATTTCTTGAGAGCTCCTGCTAAGTGCCCAGCACTGTGTGAATAAAACTGGTCAAGGTTGGGCCGGCTGAGTGGCTCAGTTGGTTAAGAGCTCGCTCAAGAGTTTGAGCTCTGAGCAACAGTGGTTCGAGTCAGCCCGAGCTGAGCAGCCGTGAGCTGCCAACAGGTGGCGGGATGGCTCAGCTAAAAAAAAAAAAAAAAAAAAAAAAAAAAAAAAAAAAAAAAAAAACTGGTCAAGGTTGCAGTCCCCTTTAATTTACAATCTGCTTGATGGAAACATAAAATAGGCAAATACATAAACAAGTTAATTGCAGGCTGTGAAAAGTGCGATGAAGGAAGTAAACAGAAGAGTAACCAAAGAGCTTACTTTAGAAAGAGTAATCAGGAAAAGTCAACAAATATTTGTTGAGTACCAATTCCTATCATTTTTATCTCCCAAGTATCTCTGAAATCAATCCATTTCGCACCAGCCTCCCTTCATACCCTAATCTTGGTCAATCTCTCTGGTTGGAATTATTACTGTAGCACCTTGCTGGTCTCACTGCCTTTAGTCTCATCTCCATTTCATCCTTCCTCCATATGTCCATCCCACCCAATCCCTCATCAGGCTCACAAGGGCCTGCTTCTCTAACCTTGCCCTTCACCGCCACTGAAGGGAGAACCAAAACAGCCTGAGATGTGGAGAAATACGAGTAGCTCAGATGAATAAAGGGGATGAGATGAGAGATGAGAGATGGGGGTGGGCAGGAAGGCCTTCAGTAACATACTTGCGAGTTTGGGTTTTATCCTACAGGTCAACAATTTTCCAGGAGGGAGATTGTAGTGGTAGGGCCAGAAAGGACAACTCCACAGGGGAAATGGGGCTGAGGCATATATAATTTGAAAATGCATATTTGACATTGTAATTTTATTTTGGAAAATAAAGCAAAATGTATTTATATTAGTTTGCTAGGTTTGCCATATCAAAATACCATAGACTAGAGGACTTAAACAACAGAAATTTATTTTCTCATAGTTCTGGAAGCTGGAAGTCCAAGATCAAGATATTCACAAAGTTAATTTCTTCTAAGGCCTCACTCTTGGTTTGTAGATGGCAGTCTTCTCCCTCTGACTTCACATATTTTTTTTCTGTGTCCTAATCTCTTCTTCTGATAAAGACAGCAGTCAGATCAGATTAGGGTCCTCCTAAAGGTCTCATTTTATTTTAATGACGTACCTCTTTAAAGGTCTTGTCTCCAAATACAGTCACATTCTAAGGTACTGGGGGTTAGGATTTTATAGAGGAGTCAAAACTTTACATCCACCCATCTTAGGTTTTCAGATGGGACTCCTCAACAAAAAGACAGATTAACAAAAGAAAACAAACAACCGTTTAACATGTATAATTTATGTATACAGGGGAGATACCCAGGGAAAAAATGAGTAACTCTCCCATATGATTTAGAAATAGGGAAAGGGGAAGGGGAATGTAAGACTCTTAGGGTAGAGTAAATGATTTCTAGGAAAGATGAATGAGCCCTTAGAAGAGTGGATGGGAAATATGATAACTTGTGCCAAAGTTTGTTCCCATGTGATAGTCTCCTCTCCTGTGATATGAGATGAAACTCCCAGGAAGGGGATTTATGACCATTGAGTTCCTTTTGGAGGGTCTGTCTTTAGGCAGATAAGGGAAGTTCAGAGAGAGCCTGTCCCTCCATTTGCTGTTTTTGAAGTGCATACAGCTCAAAATAATCAATATGCCAAAGTAGCATATTTGGGCACATTCTGTTACCCTTCACTGTCTTTTCCCCTTGGGAGGATAAAAAGGTTCTTGAGCCCTCCTGGGAGCCAGGACACCAGGAGATCCTCCTGGATGCTGTAATTGAAGGACCTGGCAGCCTGCTCTGCTTCTTCTTTCAGTGTAACCTATGCTACCATTAATGGACTTTATCCACCTGCCATGTACCAGGCACTGGGCTAAGCATTTATCTTATTGACTGCTCACATTAACCTTTTGATGTGGATGTGATTGTTATCCCCATTTTACAGATGAGGAACCTGAGGCTCTTGCCTAAGGTCACATATAGCTACTAAGGGGTAGAGCCAAGATCTGAACCCAAGATATCTGACTCTACTATTCACCTTTGGCTGACTTTTCTGGGGGTCACTGGTTCTCTGTCCTTGCCTCTGTCCTCCTCCTACACTGCTATGTGTCTCCATATCCCCTTTACTGGTTCCCTTTCTCCTCCCCCCAAGACTCTCACAACCTCTGCCCAAGCTGAGGTTTTTCTGAGCTCTCTAGGTCTCAATCCCTCAGAGGATGCTGTCAGGCCCTCTGCCCCTCCTTGAGCACATGTCTCATACTCCTTGCCCCTTTGGCAGATCAGTCAAGAATTTCTTGACAGTGTCAGGTCACAGAGGTTAAAGGAGATTTTCAAGAATGAGACATGCAAAGTAAGGCTAGGATTTAGGAGGGGCTATTGTATTTAGCAATAAGGAGATCTCAGGTGTCCTTGGTAGGTGCAGAGGTGAAGGTGCTAAAGCCTGAACAGAGAGAAGAGAAATGCTAATAACTACAGTAGCATTTCATACTTACCATGTGCTATTCTGAGCACTTTATAGATATTAATTCATTTAATATTCATAATAACTCTGTGAGATAGATATTATCATTCCCATTTCCCCATGCAAAATTACGCACAAAGAGATTAAATGGCTTGCCCAAGGTGACAAAGGAAGTTCATGGTGGAATCTGGGTTTGAAAATCTGACCAGTCTAGCTCTGTATTGTTAACTGCCAAGACTTATATTCAGCTCTCGGCTTTGAGGAGGGGAGAGGGGCACTGGTGGCTAGCACTAGAAGAGCGGGAGCCAGGCAAGAGGAGAGGTAAGAGCTAGAGGATGATAAAGGGTGGGCCAGATGATTTACTGCTGGAGTGGTTCCCTCTCCTGGACCATAAACCAAAGGGACCTGTCAGCATCTGGGAAGCAAGATAAAGTGACTCAGGAGGGAGGGGCTGGGTGGGGCCTAGGGACCATCCTCTTCCTCTGGCAGAGGCTTCAAGTCCTATATCCCTGTGTGTGGCTCTGTGGGAAATTCACAGCCCAGTGATCCAGGGTGTTGGTAACAGGCAGAAGCCTGAGAGCCTCAAATGGGGATGGGGGTGGAGGCCTGAAATGCAGCCAGCTGCGTTGCCATTAAGGAACCCAGTCAGAGAGAAGCCCTCAGGGCCTTCAGGGCCTGAGCTCTGCCAGTCCCAGAGCCTGGCTTCCCAGGTACAAGAAACTCTTTAAGTGATAAGCAGCCCAAAATGTTCTAGGAGAGCCACAAATCAGAGCTTGGGAAAGGGCTGCACGGCCATGATGGCTGAGGCCCCTGAGCTGGTATCCCATCTTCCCCAAGTCAGTTCCTGGTTTTCCAGATCTCTGGGATGGACACACACACACACACACACACACACACACACACACACCCTGTTCTCTCCTCATACTGACATCTCACCTGGGCTCTAGAAGGAAAACATAACTCATTGAGACATGAGTAGGTTTCCAGACCTGCTCATCCAAGAAACCCATATGAAAAAGAGGGAGAGGGGCTAGATGTCTTTCAGGTTAAAAGGGACAAAAAATATAAAAGAAAGGAAAAGCCTGCCTGAGTTCAAGTCCTTCCCAGCTTTACCAAGATGAATCAGGTCCAATCCTACCATCAAGTGTCTCACGGGCTGGAGGGGAGATCTCCCTGTAAACAGATCATAGACAAGGATAATTAATGACTGCCAGAGAGGAAACCTAGGGGGCTTTGAGAAGTGATCTGGGGAAGATCATGGCAGGCTTTCCAGAGGATGCTCTAAGCTGGACCATGAAGAAGGAGTGAAAAGGACCTGGGCCAGAGGCTGGTGATGAGGGAGTAAAGTGGGGACATCTCAGAGGGCCTTGTGTACTCAGCTTAAAAGCCAGGCCAGCACTGTTTGGCTTGGGGACAGGCTGGCAGAGCATCAGGGGAAAGTTCTTTGCCTTTTCATTTCTGAAGTATTGCCTGGTTCTGGGATGCAACAGTGGACCAGTAGATGGAAACCAAAGGGAGTGGATTTGGCTTTTCGTGGTAATAGTAACCATCACTAAATGCCTACAATGCTCCAGGCTCTGGGCTTTGTTTCTTTGAATACTCCCAATTGCCTGCCAGGAAGGTGTTATTGATCCTGTTTTGCAGAGGAAGAAATAGATTCAGAGAGATTTGGTAACTACAAGGTTACAGAGAGCTAGAATTCAAACCCAGGTTTGTCTGATTCCCAAGCTTGTGCTCCTAACCACCCTCCTTCCATGCTTCCTCTCTTTAGGAAACACTTGTGGGTGGGAACCAGCTCACAGTGTGGGTGAAGGAGCTCCCCAAGACACATCAGATGTGGGACTGATATGGGCCAAGAGTAGCATTCCCCCACAACCCACAGGACAACTTTTAAATTTTATTTCCTTTAGAAATTTTAAGTCTCCTCTTCCCTAGTTTCTTAGCCCCTGGCTCTGATTACTCTTCTAATCAGTTTCTGAATCCTAGACTAAAGATTGCCCTAGATTGAATCACAGAATATCTCACCCACCCCTGCTTTAGATAACTACTTAAAACCTGTCACTTCCTAACATTCCCCAAGCCATTCTGGACCTATCCTATTTCCCCATGTATAAGACACAACCTTTTTCGAAAAATTTGGGGTCTAAAAACTAGGTGCGTCTTACACAGTTGTTGTAGTTTTTTTTACTTGCATTTTCCACTGTTTCCGCACTTGTTTTTTTGCACTCATACAACCACTGTATAAGACGCACCCAGTTTTTAGACCCCAAATTTTTCGAAAAAGGGTGCATCTTATACATGGGGAAATAACGTAACTCTTGGAAAACCCCATCCCAGGGACTAAATAGATTTTAACATTTCCCCAGGCCAGTATACTTGTTGATTGTAAACATTAAAGGCTAATGTTCTTTCCAAGCCCATAGCCACCCTACATCAATAGCTTTGAGCTCTGCTCTTTAAGAAATGTATTAAAATCTATTTTTCCTCATTTAGGGGCCTTGAGGATACAGAGGGCACCCTGGCAAGATTGCCAGTCGCAACTAAGGAAGCCAACACTGTCTTCCAGGCGGATCTCGAGACCCCTTCCTCTCATCTGAGATCAGATAGGGTGAGAGTCCCGTGAAGCCTCCAAATAGGCAGGGACAGCTCTATGCCCCTGCCCAGCAGGAAGCAGATACAGAAGAAAAGACCTCCTGTCCCTCAGCTTCCCATAAAGATTTTATGGGGATCACATCTCTCATGGGGAAAACAAGGCAGGCAGTTTAGAGGCAGGCATTGGGTCTCTGCATTCCTGCACGTCCCACAGAATGTGACCGCCCAAAAGACCTCCCCTCTCCATCCAAAATTGATCATTTTCATTGTAATTATCTACCCCTATGGGGAAACAAATGGGTACAAGATACCGTACTGGATTAAACCAGTCACCCACACCTGTGCAGTAAAGGCCATAACGACCTTCATTTCACCTGGGCCTCATTATACTATTATTATAATATCATACATATGCCCAGAAGTTCATTAATATCATTATAACAAACTGAATTCTGGGAAGGAACATGTGCAGTCTAAAGAGATGAGGTAATAGCTTAACAGCCTGTTGTCAACCATAGGTGTCAATCAAGTGGTACCACACCCAGAGAGAAACAGCCCATTCTAGGGAAAAAAGGATAAAAACTCCTAGCCCTAGCCAGTCAGGGCCTTTTGAGCTGTTTTTGCTCGGCACGCTCCAAACTCTTTGGAGTGTACTTTCTCTTCTAATAATGTCCTTTGAGCCTTCTCTACTGCTCCAGCCCGCTTCTGCTTCTTTGAAATGTATTTTTTCTTCTAATAAACTGTCTTTTTCTTCAACTTTACCTCTCTGGTCCATGTCTCCATTCTTTGGTTCCACAAGACCACGATCCTGGCACACACACAATCTCTCTCTCTCTCTCTCTCTCTCTCTCTCTCTCTCTCACACACACACACACACACACACACACACACACACACACACAAAACAAAACAAAAAACAAATCCTGCTTTAGGACCACCACTCCTGGGTTTGTGTGGATGGCTCTGGCACTGGGTGGACAATTGAGCTGGTGTCTTGGGTATTATTTCTTCTGTTTGACAGATGAAGAAATTGAGGCCCAGAAGTAGAGATGGCCACACAAGATCCTGGGCACCTCTAGGAGTCAGAATGCTGGACACAGGGCTGAGGGGGTCTGCATCCCTAGGACTGACTCCCAGATCTCTGTGGCCACATCAGCCCTGTGGAATGGGGATGGAGAAAGGCTGGGCCAGGCCCCTCAGAGCCTGGACTGGAAGTCTGGCAGTGTGGCTTGGTGATAGGATCCTGATCCCACAGTACGAGCCCTTGTTTAAGCCCACATGAGCCAATTCCAGCCTTTGAAATCCATTAACTCCAGCTTTGAATCCTGCCTCCAATTCATCCCAGCTGTATGACCTTCATCTGTGAAATGGGAATGATTCCTACCCCGTGGGGTTGCGATGAGGGGGTGATATAGTAGTGCCTTTGGCAGAGTGCCTGTCACTTAGTCAGTGCTCTGTGGTCAGCAGCTGTTATGATTGTAACAATTTATCGTGCATCTGTCTTCTCACCTGGAGCGTGGGACAGTAATCCCTGTCATCCTGACTTCAAGGACATAGTGTCATCTGTGGGGGCTGTGGGGTCAGTGCAGATGGCACTTCTGCCACTCAATGGCCAGCGCAGCCCTGCTGGGGTAGGGAGACACATCCGGTTCCCAGGACCAGAGGTAGCTGGATGACAACCTCAATCCATCAATGATAACCTCAGTCCAACCAACCTTTATGGACCCAGGAGGTACTTAAATGTGTGGGATGTGAAGGCTAGCCCAGTTCTCCTTCCTCAACTCAGGCTGCTTCCTAAAGCAGGTAGGCAGGCAGTTGTGGGGTAGAGGTGAGAGTGCCCTGGGCCTCAGGAGACCAGCTATCAGCTTCAAGAGCAAGATCCCAAGGGATAGGGGTGGGTTTGGGCTAGAGTTGAATCTGTCCTCAGGGGTTCAGGATCTGGTTATACCCAGCCCTGCAAGAAGCTGAGAGGAGCTTGGGGAAACCTCATGCATGAGCGGGCCTAGATCTCAGCTCCCCCTTGCCCCACCCCATCCTGGCTTGACCTCTGCACCACTGAGTCCTGGAGGGGAGGGGGGTGTGCTTTGTCTGCTCTGAGGCTTCCTCCCTTCTTGTCTCCTGACACAGGGTGAAGGCTAGGGTGTGTATGACCGGAGTTGAAGGGAGGTTGCCTGGGGAACTAAGCTTGGTGATGAGAAGGCAAGCTAAGGAGAAGGCTTGCTGGGGGAGCGGGGCAGCTCTGGGGGCAGTTCTCGTGATCTCCTACCCCAGGTCCCCAGCGCCATGACAATTTTGTACACCCTCAAAGTGGCAGAGGCCCACTTCGGAGGCTTCTCCGGGTTGTTTCTCTGTTGGAGGGGGAGTATCTACAAGCTCCTCTACAAGGAGTTCCTACTCTTCACCCTCCTGCATGCTCTGCCCAGCATCGCCTACCGGTGAGAGGGTGAGGTCTCAGGGCTGGCCTGTGGGGGACTAGGCTGCCCACCTCCCTGTAACTCAGGCCGACACCTGACCTCCCCCAGGCTGCTGCTGACCCAGGAGCGGAGGTACATGTATGCTCAGGTGGCCCGTTATTGCAACTGCTCTGCGGACCTCATTCTCTTGTCCTTTGTCCTGGGTAAGGCTTCCTCTAGTTCTCCCTGGTATCCTACTTACCATCTTCCCAGACCTTTGAGTTGGGGTGCTAATTCTGAGGGTCAGAATTGCCCCCAGTGGCACAGGCTGGAGGTCAACCAGGGTAGGCTCACAAGACCTGGGAGCTGTGTGCCGGGCCAGGATTACCAGAGGGCTAGGCCCTGCCATCACTTGCTGGACCCTCATTCCACATAAGGCCCAAGACACCTGCAGGCCTCACCACTTTCTGGATACTGGAGGGGGGCTGGAGAGAGGTGACAACCCATCCCCACCTTAACGGGAATCACGGAGCAGAGTTAACCATTACCTTACCTTGAGCCACCACTTCTCTGCCTTAGGAGGGTTGCACTCCTCTTTCCTCCCAGTGTGGTCCAGCACATCAGGGTGGGACCAGAGGAACAGGCTGTCCTTCCTGACAGTGAGGCAGGGGGCTGGAGCCAAATGTGTCCTTCCCTCTGCCTTGGTTTAACCTGGCCTGGACCAGGCACTCTGGCTGGGGGGCAGGGCACGCTGACTCCCAGACCCTCCGTCTTCCCTTCCCATCCCCCTTATTCATGGCGGCAACCAGGTTTCTACGTGACCTTGGTGGTAAACCGCTGGTGGGCCCAGTACACAAACATCCCGCTGCCGGACCAGCTGATGTGCGTCGTCTCGGCCAGTGTGCATGGCGTGGACCAGCGCGGCCACCTGCTGCGCCTCACCCTCGTCCGCTAAGCCAACCTGGCGTCTGTGCAGTCAGCACATGCGTACTCAAGCGATTCCCAACCATGGAGCAACTGGTGGGTGCAGGTGCCTCACCGGCCTCCTGGGAGGGCAGGTCTGACCCCCGAGGGGGGACTCCAGGGCCTCAGGACCTGAGTCCTAGAGGCAGAGAATGAGTCCGCGCCCTACCCACTTTATCCCGGCAAGTTTCATGTCCCAGGAAGAGAGGAAAAAGTTTGAGAGCCTGAAATCCGACTTCAACAAGTACTGGGTCCCCTGCGTCTGGTTCACCAACCTGGTGGCCCAGGCCCGGAGGGATGAGTGAATCCGTGATGACATAGATCTCTGCCTCCTCCTGGAGTGAGTCAGCTTAGGATCACGCCCACCTGCCCTCCCCTTAGCTTTGCAAACTGGAATAATACTTTTAGTACTTAACATTAATATGGTGTCAACTATGTACCATATATTGTTGGAATCATTGAACTTATATTAACTCATTTAACCCTCACATCAACTCTTGAAATAGGTACAGTACTACTGGTATCACCCTCCCCCTTTCACATATGAGGAAACTGAGGCACAGAGTGGAAAAGAAATTTGCCCAAGTCACACAGCTAGTTAGGGAAGCTGGGATTCATACTCAGACATTCTGGCTCGAGGTTCTGTGCTTGCAGTTATTTTGCTAAATTGCTCCCCATCACAGGCACCTCAGCCTGAAAGCAGACTGAGCCTTCAGACCTGGCCCAGGCCTAGTTTGTGCTGGGCTCCCCTGTTCTCTCCCCATCCTTCCTCACCTTCACTGACTTCTTCCTGCTCTTCCACCAGGAGCTGAACAAGTACCAGGCCAATTAGGTGCAGCATACTGTTCCACTATGACTGGATCAGCACCCTCTTTTTTTTTTTTTTTAAGATTTTTTTATTGGAGAATCGGGGAAGAGGAACAGACAAGTTGCTGTCTTTTTGTTCTTCAGTGTAGTTGTGGAGGACGTCGCATCACTGGCCCATGTTGGTATTATCATTGTGCTCTTTCCGGGTGAGGCAGATCAGGCGCCAGTCACTAGATGGCCACTCATGGTGGCTCATGGCAGCTCACGCCGGCTGCTGGCTGCTCACTTATGAGGTAGCTTATGGCAGCCCACTGCAGCTCCACTGCAGCCTACGCCGTCACCAGCGACTCATAGCAGCCCAGCTCCAGGTTGNTTACGCTTGTGCCAGCCACTCACGCTGGCTGCCAGCCACTCACGGTAGCTTATGGCAGCCCACTGCAGCTTCACTGCAGCCTACGCCATTGCTGGCTACTCACGGCAGCCCAGCTCCAGGTTGCGCTGTTGTTCACCATCTTAGCTGTAGAGGGCGCAGCGTCACTGGCCCTAATGTGGGATCTGAACCAGGGCCCTGCTGCTCAGAGCTGGCGTCCCAAGCCATCTCTTAACCAACGCACCACTCGGCCGGCCCTGTATCAGCATCCCTCTTGTCTACACCCAAGTAACTGCCTCTCACCTCCCCAGTCTCAGTGCCTACTGTATGTCCTGTGTGCAACACACTGAGAAGAATTAGAGATGATACCTGCCCTGGGGCAGTTCAGTCTAGTGAGACACTGAACAGCCAAAGGCTCAGCCTCAAAGCCGCCCTAGACCCCTACTAAGATAACTCCATCCCCTCTGGTGCTGCCACACCTTGCTACATGTTTTCATTAGTACTTGTCAGGCCCCCTTAAGGACAGGGACAACATTTCTCCCTGCCCCATTCAGCCTGGCTCCTCCTTCTCTAAGTGATGACCATAGCAGTGTACTCCTACTTTGCCCTCTCCTTGGTTGGCCACCAGTTTGTGGAACCAGAAGCAGGAGCTGCCAACCCTCAGGAGCCTCTGAAGCCAGGCCGGGAGCCAGGGCCAGCCCTGGGGGACATGGACATGTATGTGCCTCTCACCATTCTGCTGCAGTTCTTCTTCCATGCTGGCTGGCTCAAGGTGGGCACTTCAGGTGGTCATGCCAGCCTGCTCTGTAGACATGGATCCAGGGCCTACCCCAACTTTGACGACAGAGAATAGGGCAGAAAACATTGTCTTACAACCTGCAGGTGGCCGAACAGATCATCAACCCATTTGGTGAAGATGATGACTTTGAAACCAACCAGCTCATTTGGCACAACTTGCAGATAAGCAGGGGTCTGGAGCAGCTCGTTGGGCTTTTCCTCCCTGCCAGTTTTCAGTCCCAGTGTGGAGAGGAGAGGGGGATCTTTGTGACTTGCTGCCCACCCCAGGTGTCCCTGCTATCTGTGGATGACATGTACCAGAATCCGCCTCCTGCTGAGGACCCTACGCTGTGGCCACGGTGGCCGAGTCGCTGAGGCTTTTTTCCTGGGATCCACTTTCAACCTGCGGTGAGTGGCCCACGCTGGCGGATGCAGGACTTGATCCAGCACTTGGTCCCCAGGTCCTCGCCCACCCTCTGAGGCACCAATGACTCGGTCCTTCCCGCCCCCCTGTGGAGAGCCCATCCACAGAGCGGAGGCCAGTTCATCCTGCCCTCCTGCCTGCAGCGTGAGCGACCACCCGGAGCAGATCCTACAGGGGGTTGGCGTCCCCTGGGTCGTATCAGCGGGTACCCGCCGCGCAGACCACGCTGCTCAGCAGGTTCCTGGGCGCAGGAGAGCCCTTCCCCGCCGTTAGCCTCGAGAACTGTGGCCGCGCATGAGGAGACCTCCGGACCCCTCATCTGCTGCGCTTCCGGGTTGAGGAAGGTGGTGACCCGGAGGCCGGGGACTGCATCGAGGAGACGACGGGGTCAGGGGACCAGGCCCGGGAGCCTTGAGTAAGGCAGCCGTGCCCGGCCGCCCTGCCTGCCTCCCCCAGGCCTGACCCCACTCACTGCCCACTTTCTGGGTCGTGCCCCTTCCTGCCCTCGGCGATATCAGAGCAGCACTTCCTGTATGTCCTGAGCGGGAGCATTTAGGGATGAACCTTGAAAGATGGCGGGAAGGGCCTGAACCAGGGCTGGGAATGTGTCCACTTTGGCGAGAAGGTATGATGGATTGCTTGGGAGAGGTGAAGCTGGAGATGCATGGGACTAGGCATTGACGACTCAAGCCCAAGTGCACTGTTAATTTCCTCAGCAACGGGGACTAGGCCAGTTCTCAAACTTGAGGGAGCATCACCATTACTAAAGGGCTTATTTAAAAGTTCTAGGTACCACTGCCAACGTTTCTGATTCACTAGATTTGGAATGGGGCTCAATCTCAACAATTTACACTTGTAATAAGTTTCAAGGTGACAATACTGCTGCTGGTCTTGGGATCACAATTTGAGCCATACGTAAGATGTTTAGGATATACTTTATTCTGATAACCTTCCTCTGAGGAGGGCACAGTGTGTGTCCTAGGGGACTTTTATCTATGTTTACTTTTTTTTTATGTGACTATATTACTTGTGCAATTACAGTTGTTTAAAATTGAACTGGCATGCTGTGTGGTGGGATAAAGGGTTTCAGAATCAGCCCTGGAGACTGATTCAACGCAGATGTGAAAGCAGTCATACACCACCCAGCTGAGACTTTCAGCTTAGAATGCCAAGCCTTTCTCTGCTACCACCAAACCAACTGGGGGAGAATGGATAATTTAAGGGGTGAAAGTTGGCAGTCCCTCTCGGTGGGGCTGCAGTGCTGGGAGCACTTGGATGATGCTGTGAAGGGCCTTATGGAAAACAGCCCCAGAGCACTAGATTGGAGTCACTGCTAAACTGAGCTCTAAGGTTCCCATCTCCTAAGCTTAATTAGCCTCCACTAAAGAAATTGGTCAATGTCAAGACAACTTTAAGACCAAAGGATGACAAATCCCAGAACTCAAAGGAGGGGAGGCAAGATTGTGCAAGTAGAGAGGTTCAGCGTGTAGCCTCTGGCATTGTCAATTGAACATTTCATTTCTAAGCCTCACAGTGGCCAAATATAATGTGGAGATAACAGCACCCGAGATATTCACACAAAATACTCAAAGGTATTTTGAGGTTTTCTGTTGGGATAACAGGTAGGTAGCCTTGCTGCAGGGCAAGAATGGTCTTCTGTGAAGGCAGTGGAGATAAAAGTGGATGGATTCCACTCTTTCGAGAGAACCCACGGGTCCTGACGGATTAGAGGTAGAAGTGAAAGAGGGGGAGGAATCAAGATCAATGCCCTGTAGTGTTCAAATTAAAAACAATGTGCTGAATGTTGCTACACACTCCTACCTGGCGCAGAGCTCTCAGTAATCATTAGTTACTGTTAAGGTGGTGTACGGAGACATCATTGGGTGAGAAGGCAGGGACCAGGTCTTCCCAAAGCCAATGTTAAGGTTTTAGAGAGTTGGGTCTTGTCAAGTTTTTGTACTCAAAAAGTGTGTGTGTGTGGTTTCATCGCCTAGCTTATCTTTCCCAGTTGATTATTCACACAAGTCTGAAATTTAGCCAGTTGGATTTTGCGCTTTGGTTCTTAAAATATGTACTTGCACTTTCAACTTAAAATTGGAGAAAATCTTCAGGAACTCTTTAATTTAGCACATAAATTTGAGTGCCTGGTATATTGCCATGCACTTTTTCCAGATACTGGACACACAACTGGAAACAATCCGTTTCCCTGGAGTTATATTCTAAGAGAGGGCAAAAAAGACGAGGAAAATAAGCAAAATTTATGCCATGTTTTGGAATAAGGAGAAAGAAAAAAACTGGCAAAGGACACAATGAAGGCAACTGCAATTTAAATTGTGATCAGGAAAGAACTTACTAGGGTGACAAAGATCTGGAGGAGGTAAGCCGTATGGGTATGGAAGTGTTCCCAACAAAAGGAACGTAGCAAATGAACACCAATTCAGTTAAGGTCAGGAGGGTAGTCAGTCACTATAGAAAAAAGGGATCAGGGCACATTAAGTTCCATAGTATTTAATAAGAATTTTGAGATGAGAAGCTGTGTCAAAGATCTCATCTTTTAAAATAATCACGGATTGCTGGGATTGCACTGGGAACAGAAGTGGAACTGAGACAAATAGGATGCAAAAGTTACCAGAATGGTAGAGGTGATGTCAAAGGTTGAACAAGATGGTGACATTAGCTGTGGGAGTAAGGGTCAGGATGGCCCAAGACTTAGACTTAAACAGTCATATAAAAATAAGTATTTGTTGCATCTAGTTGAGAAACTATTTGCAAAGGGAGAGTTTGAGAAATGCGATCAGTTTTAACATGCCGACATCCAAGTACAGGTGTCAAGTAGGTCTAGGCTAAAATCAGAAAGATGGAACATAACCCACATTTAAATGCTGGATAGACGATGCAGCCAAATAGCTGACCCTTAGACTTAACAATGCAGAAGCCACTGGCAATCTAACATACTTTTGAATAGTGAAGGGTGGAAGGAATTAGGACTCGAGAAAATTATAAAAGACATCCAAAATCTGACAGAATACATATATTTAAGTATATGTAACTTGCTTTCAACAGTGCAGAAATCTGTTAACACAATTTCAAGATTTCAAGACCACTTGTAAACCCAGGTTGTAAACTAAGTTAAAACCAGGTCCAAGAGGTATAGGATGTCTAAACGAATCAACGTTAGAGGAAACATTGCTTCAGGTTCCAATCACGGTCCAGTCAATACCCCAGTATTGTTGGGGGTCCCAGTGATGGGATACCTCCCTTATTATGGTCTCTGTTTGGCCTGAATGCCACATCCCTGCCCCCACTGATGGTCAACCTTTGGGGTGAGAAATGTCCTCTTTATTATAGAAAGGCACAGACTACATAATAGGCCTGGCCTTCAGGGAGAGGGAAGTGGGGGCACTCTCCAGTTTGCCAATCGAGTATTCAAACAACCTGGACACAGAACACAAAACACCTTTATTACATGGGCTAAGCTAGGAGGGAGGATGATTTATTTGCCTTTACGGGCCTTGATTTTCCTCAGATAGAACTCCAGCTCCTTGCCCTCTAGCACATAGCCATCTGCTCGGCCACACTGGCCTGGTCTTGAAGCGATGCAAGCTGCAAGAAAGTAAGTAGCCCTTAGCAAAATAATACCGTGGACTTCCCCAAACCTATGTGCCCTTGAAAGTTGGTTTAGGTATCCTGGGGGCAGGCACGAAACCCGTTGTCTCCTCAGATATACTTTATCGTCACATAAAATCAGTAGCAGAACTGGACAAAGTTTTCATCACTGAGACAGCCCCCTTAGCCTGGGCACAGACTTCTCAAAGTACACGGAAACTCAGAGGCAGAGACCAAGCTCAGGCCTATGGACTCCTGCCCATTATGTCCCATTTTAGTTTCACACTAATGGGTGACTGTTTATTTGTATTTGTATGCTGTTATCCCTAAATGGTCCTAGTGAACCCACTATACCACTTGGAGTCAAAAGAACTCAGGCAAAGGTAAAATGCAGAGGGCACTCCATTATCTTCTGCCTCCCACCCCTCAACGCAACAGACATCTCACCAAGAAGCTTGCCCTGTTGGAACTGCTCCTCTAGAAGACTGCTGATTTTGGCATTCTTTTTCCTTTCATCGTATTTCTTCTGAATTTTCTTTGATCGCTTTTTGTTTAAAATCTCTTCTTCCTCAGGAGTCTGAATAAAAGAGATACAGATGGGTGATCTGGGGGCCAGCCAAACCCTAACTCAGTGAAGAAATGTCATCATAGCCTTGAACCCTACACATCCCAACTCCTGCCTTCCTCAGCACTAAAGGCTTTCATCTCTCTCCCTTCAGTAGCAGAACTGGACAGAATTTTCATCACAAGAAGGCTGGAATCAGGCTGGCCTCCTCCCACCCCTATAAGGAAGTTGATACCCCAAACACGCACCAGCTTGGCCCCCTTCTTGCGGCCTAGGGGCAGTGCATAGTGGGACTCGTACCACTGTCGGTACGGTGTGCTGTCAATGAGCACGATGCAGTTCTTTACTAGGGTCTTGGTGCGGACCAGTTCGTTGTTGGATGCATTGTAGACCACATCAATAATCCTTGTTTTGC